TTACAACAATGACTATGGATAGGATGGTTTGGCAAAGGGTAGTATGGTCAAAGGGACATTCTGCAGTTATGGAGGTAGGACGCATAGGGCAAACTAGGACACGTGTAGGACCTGAATTTAGATACATGGTATTTCTGTTCATCCAGTGTTAAAAGTGTTTGGAAGCTTGGAAAATATATGCAAAATTATAAGCAGGAAATCATTGAATAAAGTCTATAATTTTCAGAAGGAAGTTAGTAGATGACATGGACCACCTGAGATCTACTTAACTTGATTGTGTCCAGTCTGCGAAGAGTCCAAAAAAATAAGAAATTCTAGAGATGAAGAGAGAAGAGAATGCCCTGTATCATTGGAGTTTAGCCACTATTCTTGAACTACAACTCCCACTATTCTCTGCAGTACTCAAGCTAGCTGAGGATTCTGGGAGTTGTAGTCCCACAAATTCTGAAAGGCCACGTTACCTGTGTTGCTTGCTACTTTTATGTTGGTTTGTTGCTCTGATTAGTTATTACTATAATTATTACACTGCGATTTAATCAGCCGACTTAAGCTGTGTGTAGTGTCCACTATCTAGGTGCAATATATGTTTTATGTCTATTAAAGTATAAATGTTTTCTGTTATTGAAGAAATCACACCTGGTTATATTGTTGTTTTTATTTTTTAACCTTCAATAGGGCCCTCCTGACATTATTGTTTTTTAGTTATACTGAGCTGGTGGCCTATAGAAATGGCAGCTGAACTATATAATTATATAGATAAAATCTTCTTTTCACGTTCTTTGTATATAATTGAGGCCACAGTTTGATACCAATTCCCAATATATTATCATCTATGCTTTAACTGGCTGGACCAACTAGAAGAGTTCCCTGCACTCCAATGCAAATGACAAATTTGTTGTCTTAAGATAGACTGAATTATCCGTTGGATAGCATAGACTTTTTTTGGGTGTAGCTTACACTCACACCAACAGAAACATTTTCAGCGAATTTCAGAAGAATTACACAGATACAGCACACATATTTGCATATCCACTTTCTGTTGCAATGACAAATACAATGAGTTACTTTTCCATGGAAGTTTGATGAATATTTTGAGCCAAAGCGGCTTAACAATAAATAAATAAAATAAATAAATACAGTTTTTTAAAAATTTTTTTATTTAAAATAAATAATTAAATAAAAACATTATATATTTATTTTAAATAAGTTATATATATATATATATATATATATATATATATATATTTATACACACACACACATATTTCCCTATAACAAAAATAAAAGTTAGACATCCTGACAATAGTAGAGGACGTAGGGAATATGACATTATTGTCTGTTAATGATGATAATGTTTGACATTGTTGTCAAGTTAGATTATATAAAATGAAGTCCATCAGGGCAGCAAGATGAAAGATATTAAATATAGCAGGTTCTAATCCTTTATTAATTTAGAATAGGACCATAAATAGGGTATTTATGTAACAGGGGAATATCAGACTCCGACGTTACATTTGTGCTGCCCACTCAGTTATTGGCCGTGTAGCCTTGCAGAGAAATGAATAGCTGGATATGTGATTTGTTCATGTTGTATATAATTCCCTGTAAATCTGTTTTAAGCAGATTTGCATTAGTACAATGTAAAAAAGCAATGTCTTTTTAAGTAATCAACTAGGACCCTCTAGTAGTTGGACCCTCTTTTGCAAAGGGTAGAGGATAGTGTCCATTTTTACTTTGCCGTATATTTTGTTTTTGGCTGCAGGTCATTTTTTGGTCTGATTGTCAGGACTGGGGTGCAAGACATCTCTCCATCATATTATTAAAGGTTTTGTCCTTGTTTTTGGACTGTTATAATGTTAGAGCGGCGGGTGGGGACCCTAGTGAAAATAGGGGGGAGGACCTATTGTCCCCCCTCCTGGCCCTCCCACCCATGAGCGGCAAATGGGGGCCCTAAGCTACAATAAGAGGGGGACCTACAGGCCCCCATCCATGCGCAGCGGGTGGGGGCCCTAGAGAAAGTAGGCGGGGGACGACCTATAAATGTAAAAGTAGACCCCACCCCCAAGGTGACTAGGGGTCCCTAAGTCCCTAGTCACCTCCCCTCAAATAAATTTCCTTCCTACCCCCCACACCCTAAAAATAAAGAGGGGGGGAATAAAAAGCTAAATACCTGTAAATAAAAAAATCATACTTACCTTTAGATGTCTTCTTTTTTTCTCAAACCTTTTTTTCAGCCCCAAAAAAGGCCAAATAATCCATAATTACATCAAACTTCAAAAAAACCAGAGCGCAAAATAAAAATAAATGACGAATGAAAAAAATCCTGACGCAAAAAAAATTATCCAACTTCACCCAGCGAGGGTACCACGCAGACTGAGCTCCGCAGGGCGGGGAAAGGCTTATAAAGCCTTGCCACGCCCTGCAATTTGCCTCAGATCGCTCTTATTGGTTGGTTTTGGCCAACCAATAAGAGTGCTCTGATAGGTAACTCTTGAACATTGCCTGATTGGTTATTGGTATCAGGGCACTCTTATAAGCCTTTAGCACCCTGCGGTGCTCAGTTTGCACGGTGCCCTCGCTGGGTGAAGTTGGATTATTTTTTAGCATTGGGAATTTTTTTGGGGAATTTTTTTTTGTGTTAGGGTTCTTTGGTTCATTTTACAAGTTCAGCGTTAATTATGGATTTTTCGGTACATCGAATGAAGCAGCAGAAAGAAGGTAAGAATTGTGGGAAAATTGCTTTGACCACAGTAAATCGAGCAGACTTTGCTCCTCCCCTGGGTCAAAGCTGGTCAAGCGTAGGAAAAATACATGAGACAAAATAGTCCCTACTTTGTCTTATGTTTTAAAGAAAACTAGAGCAGTTAGGAAGAAATGAAGAACAGATCCTGACAGAGGGAGACAAGAGGAAGTAATTGGGGAAAGGTAAGTTCAGCAGGACAGTGCCGCTTTAATTACAATGTCATATACCCTAGAAAACCTGTATATTGAATACAGGTCAACTAAGAATGCTTCTTGCCTAGGGAGGTGATTGTTGTGAAAGTGACAAAAGTAGCAGTAAAATGTGAGGCAGATGGCAACCAAAGTTCAGTGAAAAGCCACATAAGATAATAATATGATGGATTATATATAAAATAAACTGAATAACTGAAAAACACTGCATCTAATAGATTATCAAGCTTATCATAACAACTAAGATACCAAAAATAGTATGCGAGGGGTGTCCTCTACAGTTAGGTCAAACTTTCAGGACAAGGTCTTAATCTCCAGCTGAATCTCCGTTTAATTCGATATTGATATCTTTAGTGTAAGTTCTTTCTCATAAAATAATTTTGATGTTAAGTGTTGTGGACACAGGTTGACTTGTCCCTGGTGTGGGATACAGACCTCTTCCACCACAAAGATTGTCACAAAAAAAAAGATAGCAAGGATATGATCTTTCCAGAACTACTAAATGCTACCAAATTCTAAAGTCAAGCATTCCATGTAGAACCATAGTAATGCAGAAAAAAATCACAAAAGTTCACCACAAAATACTAGCTAAAACCTTTGGTGAAGTGGAAAGCAATACTGGTTTATTGGACTTTCACAGGATTTAAGACCACAACGTTTACATAAGGTGGAGGAGTGGCAGTTCATGAGGAACTATGGACCTTATTGGAGACCAATGTTCCCACTGGTCTCCAATAAGGTCCATAGTCTGGAAGGACTCTCCTAGAACAGTATGGAACGTGCTGGTAAAACACTGGGACATGAAGGGGAAAGGAGATGTACACACTGGATTGCAGGGCCCAGCTCAGGAGAGCTAATGGAAGTTCTTGTTTAGGAACTTCAAGCTTTATGGCATTAGTAGTGGAGGTGGGGAGCAGTTTGACTACTTACAAAGGGGAGCATCAGTGCACCACTAGCACCATAACCACTACAGTGAGTTATAGAGGTTGTATACATTGGCATGTTTCTTTAAATGTAGAAATTCACAACTCTTCATCCTGTAACTGTGTGCCTCTATAATGGCTCCCTGTCTTTCACTGCTGTCATGTCTCCACACTCTATCCGTTGCACCTGGCACTAAGCACACAGACAAGAGGAGAAGTGAAACAGTACTTGTACATCTTCTCCAGATTAGCAATGTTTGCTTCACTTGCTTTATCTCTCATATAAATTTAATAGAACAATAAACGCAAGGAACACCAAAATTTGCACATAGAAAAAGTTTATTCATGCATTAAAGTAATATGACAAGTAGCTTTAGCAGAAAAAAGTGCGTACTACAGTGCATAATATAGTACACCAATAGTACCAAAACGACTAAGAGTAGCTATAAAGTGCTAATTTATCTACATACGTCCATAAAAAACGGTGTACTAACCAGGAGCAGGAGAACTGAACACCCGAGACATTTCACGCCTTAAGCCTTCCTCTGGGGGACCTCAGAGGACGGCTTAAGGGCTGAAACGTCGGGGTTGTCAGAATCTTGTGTCTCCCCTTCCTCCTACCCACACTGAAGCCCTTCCTCCTCCCTAGCCCCTCCAACATAGTTTTATTTCCCTCCGCTTCCTCCCTCCCTCCCATTCTCCCTCTCACTTTTGGTGGGGTGGGTCTGGTAGAACACTGTCAGTAGGGCATTATTCCATCTTAAACAAAAAAAGTTTGGAGAAACTCTTTAATTCTAAGTATCTATTTTGTAAAAAAAAAAAAATCTAAATTATTATTCTACAAGAAAGGATTGCTACTGTTGAAAAGGACAGAGAAATTTGGGTCCTACAGAGGGACTGTCCTTCCTAAATAGAGACACCTGGGCAGTATGCAGAGGATTGGCTTAACAGTCTCAGCAATTCATAGCACTGATATATAGAAAGCAGTCACCTCTGTGTACAAAGCTCACCTTCCATTCTTTATTTTTACCTACCTTTCTATTTCTGTCTCTATTCACTCTCTACAAATCCTGCCTGTCCGTCCCCCCCTTTGTCTCTCATCCTTACTCCCCTGATGTCTATTAGGTGTTCTGAATGCTCCGAGTCTGCTCATCTACAGCACCAACACAGTTCAATCCAATGCAATGAGACACGCTTCCTGCAGCGTTTTCAGATCGTGTGCTTGCACAACACTGACTCATACGTGCCTAAATTTGGCAGTGCCCTGACTTACCGCTGTGTGTTACCTGACAAAGGGAGCGAGCCTACTGATTTCGGCAAGAATGAAACCGGAATTAACATTTTTCCTTTTATACACTGGGAGTTCCATGGGCCCCCTCGGGAGCGCTTTTCTTTGGAAGATGACGGGGTGGGGGGAATATCTATCTTTCTCGTTTCGTACTGGACAATAGAAATATTCCTGTTTGTCTCTTGCGAACAATAAACTCTGCTGTAATGAGCAGAGTCTGTGTCAGGATTTCAACTGAAGCTATGATTAAAACAACAGGGGCGTCAATCCAGCTGTCTCTGGTACATTGTGCATCAAAGAGCACTGGCACATGTGTTTGGAATGAACATGGACGTGTATGTGTGAATGTATGTGCGTGTACGCATTATGTGTATTTGTACTGTATTAGATGCAGATGTGTGCTTGAAATAAACATGTGTTTGCTTGTGTGTGAGTGCATGTCTGTGTATCCATCCATCCACCAGTCCATCCAACTATCCATCCATCCATCCCCGGCTAAATATATGTCTTGATTATAGTCCGCATGACCACATTCAGTAAACATTCTGCTATTAAACAGATGTGACAGCTGATACAGTCACTGACTAAGCTAATGTTGGCTCGTTTTTTGGTCCGTTCGGATGTGGCCCACCCATTTCTACTAAACTCCTTTAGATGTTGGAAGAAAAAAATGGGTAAGCAAAATGATTTTGAGACACTTTGACAAGGGTCAAATAGTGATGTCTAGATGACTGAATCAGAGCATCTCCAAAACAGCAAACCATAAGTGGTGCAAGGGAGGACAACCAGAGAACCGGTGTCAGGGTTATGGGCACCAAAGGCTCATTGGTGCAAATGGGAAGCGAAGGCTAGCCCGTCTGGTCCGGTCACACAGAAGAGCTACTGTAGCTGAAATATTTTATGTTGGCCATAATAGAAAGGTGTAAGAATGCCAGAACACACCATGCAGCGTAATTTGGGGCTTATTATCTGCAGACTGGTCAGCAGGGCCACCCTTAGGCCTTTAGGCGCCCTGTGCGAAACATCTTCGCAGCGCCCCCCTCTCCCCTGTTATCCATTTATAGTGTGTGTATAGAAGTGTAGTGATTGTATAGACGATTTATTAAATTAATAATGATTTTAAAATAAATATTCATTACACACACAGAGTTACAGGCAAACAGTTACAGGCAGACAATTACAAACACACACAGGTACAGATGGACAGTCACGTACATACAGTCACATACACAGTGTCACACACACACACCGTTACATGTAGACAGCCACACCCACACAGGCAGACAGACAGTCACACACACACAGGCAGACAACCACAGACAGCCACACACACGCACACAGGCAGACAGCCATGCACACAGGCAGACAGCCCCACACACACACACAGGCAGACAGCCACACACACACAGGCAGACTGTCACACACACATACTCAGGCAGGCAGACACTTACACACACACATGCAGACAGTCACACACACACACACACAGGCAGACAGTCATACACACACAAACAGACACAGGCAGATAGTCACACACAGGCAGACAGTCACACACACCCAGGCAGTCACTCACAGGCAGACATTCACACACACACACACACAGGCAGACAGTCACACACACCCAGACAGTCACACACAAGCAGACAGTCACACACACACAGACAGACAGTCACACAGGAAAACAGTCACACACACACAGGCAGACAGTCACACACACACACAGGCAGTCACACACAGGCAGACAATCACACCTAGTTACCTCTATTCATTATGGAAGTGGAAGTAGTGCAGCTCCTGGATTCTAGTTGTTGGGGAAGCAGGGACTCCTTCCTGCTTCCCATGCAACAAATACCTGGCACTTCTAGCCCTGCCCCATCGTTAATTAGTGCTCCCACCGCACGCTATGCCCTGAAGCCCTGCCCCCGCCGCAATGGGTTTTTTTGTTTGTTTTTTTACGGACACCCCTAAGGTTACCTGGTCTGATTTTCTTTTAGATCAGGTGAATAACCAGGTGCGTAGATACTCAGTATCATTATACCGTGTGTTCATTATCAGTGTATAGATACTCAGTTATTATACAGCACAGTGTGTTCATTATCAGTGTATAGATACTCAGTATTATTATACAATGTGTTCATTATCAGTGTATAGATACTCAGTATTATCATACAGCGCAGTGTGTTTATAGATACTCAGTATTATTATACAGGGCAGTGTATTCCTTATCAGTGTATAGATACTCAGTTATTATACAGCGCAGTGTGTTCATAGATACTCTGTAGTATTATTATACAGTGCAGTGTGTTCATTATCAGTGTATAGATACTCAGTATCATTATACAGCGCAGTGTGTTCATTATCAGTGTATAGATACTCAGTATTATTAAACAGCGCAGTGTGTTCATTATCAGTGTATAGATACTCAGTATCATTATACAGCGCAGTGTGTTCATTATCAGTGTATAGATACTTAGTATTATTATACAGCGCAGTGTGTTCATTATCAGTGTATAGATACTCAGTATTATTATACAGCGCAGTGTGTTCATTATCAATGTATAGATACTAAGTATCATTATACAGCGCAGTGTGTTCATTATCAGTGTATAGATACTCAGTATTATTATACAGTGCAGTGTGTTCATTATCAGTGTATAGATACTCCGTATTATTATACAGTGCAGCGTGTTCATTATCAGTGTATAGATACTCAGTATTATTATACAGTGCAGCGTGTTCATTATCAGTGTATAGATACTCAGTATCATTATACAGTGTATAGATACAGCGTGTTCATTATCTGTATATAACTAGTGAGGTTCATTGTACAGGGCAATCTTTGCATTACCGATGTACACTGTATCTCATTTATAGCGCACATACCATTTTATTGCAGGAGCCAAAAATCTCTTTTTTTTTCTCATTCTCAGTGTGAGATTTTGGTTTAAATCTACTTCAAGCTGTTTAAAATATTTGAAATTAAATTATTTAACAGCAATGCTTTTTAAAATATGAATATCGCTGCAGGGATGTTATCATTACTGAGAATAGGGTGATTTCTAGAATCTAAACATTATTTTTTAGATCAATGTAGAAAGCTTAAAAATAACCTACAAGATTATTAAATAAATAAAAATGTGAAAAAAGAAAAAAAGAGTGTTAAAGTAATATTCCAAAGACCATAAACATTCCAGCCCTCTGTTGTGGTTATAGTGCGAGGAGTCCCCTGGCACTATCCCAGTGTAAATTGTTAACCATTTTTGAATTGTTTGATTTCTTACCTTGGGCCTGGGAGGCCCTCTGTTCACCTTCACTACTAATCAGTCCTGCAGTGCTGGGCTTTGCTCGTTGGCTTATCACTACAGTATATTCAGCATTTTAATACGATAATATTTACATTCAATTGGCACTCCAATAAAGGGATCGTCTCAGCACCTTAACTACTACAACATCCTTTGGTGCTTATTCTCCTTGGAGTCCCATTTCGCTATCCCATGGTGAATATTCAAATCTGAGTCTCAGGCCACTCTGAATTGCTCTTTAGATATACCTAAGGAATTAATTACAAACTAGAACATATTGGGACACAGCTGATATATTCCTAAAAAGAAATGAATAAACAAAACACAGTGTGATATTGTTTAAAACTGGAGTGATCACGTGACGCCATGGTATGTAACACTAACAAACATGTGAAATGTCAAGGGCTCCAATGGTGCCTCCTTGAAATTAATGGGGGGGGCTATAGCCTCCTTAAGGTCACTGCTCTCAACCAGGTACCAGACAGGGATGCGGATTAAAGGAGTCCAAAAGGAATTTTTTTTGTGGCATAAACAATAACAGAATATATTAATTGTTAAATTGTTAACACATATTATATTCTTTTATTGTTTATATGACAATAAAATATTTTGTTTATTCTATGGGAAGGTGATTATAACTTTGAGGTAAGTAACCTTCTTTTTTCCCCCACTTTGATTTTAGTGGTGTATGTTTTGTTTTATGTATCTTAGATATATGTAAAGCAGAAGTCCCTACTTCTGTATTTGTGACATCAGTGTAACCTGTCTTTGGTTGGAATTGGCTGAAAGAGTCCGTGATTGGTCTCAGACAAGGAATGCTGTCCACATAGAGATACAATTGATACATCTAATATGGAATCGACTTGGCGTTGCCTGGGTGATTCAGTGAGGTGTCAAATCATTCAAAAGCTAGTTGACTATTTGCTGTAGGATGACATTTAATGACTCCTGGCACCATAATCACTAAAGCTTGTTCTAGTATTTATGGGTCTAATTAGTGATAGGTTGTATCTGATAAAGTGCAAGTTAAATGTATATATTACCGACAGTTTTAAATCTCGGAATACTCACCGGAATAAACCCTGAAGATCACAAACTACAGCAGAACATGTTCCTATACTGCTAATTCAGAAATGGAAGGAAAAAACAGTGGACATATTACATAGTTACACAGCTGAAAAGAGACTTGCGTCCATCAAGTTCAGCCTTCCTCACATTTGTTTTTTTGCTGTTGATCCAAAAGAAGGCAAAAAAAAACCCAGTCAGATTTATCCTTGGATCAAGCAGTTATTACCCTACATTGAAAGATTATATCCTTGAATATTCTGTTTTTGCAAGTATGCATCTAGTAGCTGTTTGAACATCTGTATGGACTCTGATAAAAACCACTTCTTCAGGCAGAGAATTCCACATCCTGATTGTTCTTACAGTAAAAAAACCTTTCCTTTGCCTTAGACGAAATCTTCTTTCTTCCAGTCTAAACACATGGCCTCGTGTCCTATGTAAAGTCCGGTTTGTGAATAGATTTCCACACAATGGTTTGTATTGGCCCCGAATATATTTGTATAATGTTATCATATGCCCTCTCAGGCGACGTTTTTCTAAACTAAATAGAAATTTAACCTTTCTTCATAGCTGATATGTTCCATTTCTTTTATTAATTTTGTAACCTGCCTCTGCACTTTTTCTAGTGCCATTATATCCTTCTTTAGAACAGGTGCCCAAAATTGCACTGCATATTCAATATGTGGTCTTACCAGTGATTTATAAAGAGGCAAAATGATATTCTCATCCCGAGAATGAATGCCCTTTTTCATGCATGACAATACCTTACTGGCCTTGGCCACTGCTGATTGACATTGCACATTGTTGCATAGTTTGTTGTCTATAACA